TGGAGATCACTGCCTCCACATCCACGATGCAGCCCCACGATCCCTGCCGGACCCCCTGTGCAGAGCCCCCCAAGCACACGTCACTGCCCCGGGCCTCCAGCTGCGAGGGAGCAGGCCGGTCAGAGCCTGACAGCTACGTCCCCGCGTCCGGGACATGGCACCCTCCTCCGGTGCCACCCGCGAAGGCAGCCGTGCACATGCGAGGACCGGCAGCAATGTGACAAGGGGTGTTTGCTTACAGAGCAACGAGCAGCACTGCTATGGCAAGACAAGACTTTGGGGATGAAGTTTCAACACATAAACAAAAAAACAGACCCCCACGAGTAAGAATCCCTAAGTAGCGTAGTAATGCAGTTTGCTGCACATCTACAGTTTGCAATTTTAAAACAGTGTTTGTTTAGTCATGTTGCTCATCACCATTAGCACATAATGGGACACTGTACTTCAGTCTAAATGAACTCATAATGAGCACTGTAGCAGGTCTATTGAACAGGAGATAAATAGGTGATTACTCTGACTCTGCCCTGATGAATGGAATTGCTCAGGGAGTTATGTGCCTTTTCCATAACCTTTTATAGAGACTCCATAAATCACAGCTGAATGAGTGACCCATTAGGAGCCGTAACCAAAAAAGAAGATGACTAACTTTAAAGAATAAAACGCAAAGGGCTGACACTAGTAGGCAGTGACAGACGTGATGCGAAAACTTGGGTGATTAGGACCCTCCTAAGGAAGGAATGGGAAGATGTGACAGGATAACGGAGGGAAGTAAATGGCTCAAGAGTGGTGCTAGAGGGCAAGTTTGGGGAGGATAATGGACTTAGTCACAGAAAGACCTACCCTTCAGGGCTGTCCTCCTGGGCTTGAAGGTAAACAGAAATGAAATGAACATTAAGGGAAGAAAGGGAAAGGGCAGGCAGACAGTCCACTTCTACATGAAGGAAGAGGAAATCAGGCAAGCAAGAATTTAGCAATGGGAACTGGAACATCAAAATGTAAAAGGATGGAGAATGCCCAGAAATAAATGATAAATCCTGGAGAACAGCAGTTGAGTAGATGATGTGGTCAGGGAAAAGGACTGTTGCCTAACAAGCAGGGAGCAAGGAACATGGAAATGGTTGTGCGCTTCTGCCCAGAGCTGGGGCACCCGCCTGCAGGGGCCTGAAATTCTGGCATCAGATACGAGAAGGGGTACTTCGGGGAGAGGAAACACAATGGAAAAGTTATAATGTCTAGGACACAGTCTGACCTACTAACATTAACGAAAGGTGGTGTGAGTAGGAGGTGCTGGGGACAAGCCACTCCAAATCACTGTCAGCCATCTGTATCATTTAGAAAAAGAATCATTAGTGGTATCAAAAAAAAAAAGACAGCAGCACGTTGCAAAGCAGGAGTCTATTGGAATTGCTGCGTAATTAATATGTGATATATGCGCTGTGTAGGATAACAGTGCCACAAAAGCGTTCCCCAATGATGTCACGCTGCAAGGTTTGGAGGATTCAGGTAAAGCTTTCATTCAAACAATCACCTAAGCAGGAGAAAGATAAAATAACCATTCCAATCTGCCCTCTGCATACAAAAGCAACTCAATTTCAGATAGCTTAATAGTGTTTCACTGCAATTTCATAGACGCTGAAACATAATCAAAACTGCAATGCAGCTGTGTTAAGAATTAAGGAGGGGAGTTCCTAGAAAGGGCTTTGCTGACTCATTTGCCCTTCAATACCAGTCGTCAGGCTCACTGTGGGACAGTACCAGGGCAGGGGTTGGTGGCTGTGGAAATATCAGCTCAACTACTTCAACAAGGACAAGCTTCGGGGAACTGTCCTGTGCCAGCTAGGAGGGGGGCTTAGACCAGGCATAAGGTCACACCCTGCTGGGGTCTTTCCCATTCAAACTTTTGTAATAGGAACACTGGAAAACATGGAAAGGCTTGGGTTCCTCCAGAAACAGCCTGGTATGCTTGATGTTGGTGGGGCAGCACTAAACATCAGCAAGATTATGGGCTGTACAGATCCATCTGCACAGAGTGCTGGCATGTTTAAAACACAACGAATTTGAACCAAAAACATCTAGAGAAACAGTTTCAAAGAGGTGGGTAGCGGTGGGACTTTGTCATAGAGCAGGGAAGGTGTGTATATGAAGAGAGAGACCTTTCTAACAGCAGAAGCAATTGGAAACTGTATCAGAATGGGAAACTTCTGAGATGGAGGGGAAACAAATGGTACAAATGGCCAGTTATAGGATACATGGCATAATCACTGATCCAAAAAAAAAGCGGCAACCTTATTTTAGAGCTCATTTAGGAAAATGACGAAGGTGTCGTAGAAAACCGGATCATGAAAAGTAAATATGGATTGAGTGATCATGACTTGAATCAGTGTACCTAATGGATGGCTTATAAAGATGCCATAAGAGAACATGAGTGTTGTTGTACAGGCCTTATCAACACCTGGAACTTGGTATATAAGGCTAAAAGTTCATGTCTGAGAATGACTGGCTCCAACAAGAATGAGCGAGGAGAAGGGTTACAAGCATAGTCAGTGAATGACTGGACATAACTAGCCAAAATATATGTAAGGAATGAGCTCCTGCAAGAGTCCTCCTTTGGCACCAGGGGTGAGCGACCTGGCCAGTGTTAGCATGGATCTTCCTCTGTATCTCAAAGATGTTGCACAGCGTGTGTTCCCTAGGTGTCGCAGGGGATTGGCTGGGACAAGTCCAATGGTTTCTTCTGGTTGCATGCCCGTTCTCCTAGGGTGTGGTTGTCCCGTGGCGTCAGGGCCCATCTTGCATTGATGCTGCAGCGCTGCTGACCACGGTGCCTGCCCTGCGCTAGCTCCCGTACAAATACAAACAGCTCCTGTACGGTTCTAAATAAACATATGGTGCCTGATGTGGAGAGCCGGGGTGATGAAGTGGTGCAGTCTAACTGTAAGTGACGTGCCCAGGTACTTGGGGACTCAAGGGAACAACAGGACACGGCAATGCAATGCAGCAGCCGGCCAACTGTCATTCTGCAAGGCAGACAAAGACGTTGAAGCAGATGCAGAGGTAGATAATGAAGCGGTTTCTCAGACATTCACTGAATGCACATCCCAAACGTAAGGGATGGCACACGAGAATCACAAACGAGAGTGCTTGAAAAGTTGGCAATGTGGTGCTGAAGAGTGCTATCATGAGCCATTTGAGATGGGAGCTCATCTCACTAGCGAGGGAGTGACAGACAGAGAGGGGACTTGGTGCCAAGAGCCCAGTACGTGAAGACAAGCAGCTTACGCTTCATATGGCAGAGAAATGGGTTCCAGTGCAGCAATTGAAAGAGAGGTGACATAGAGTAACACAGAGATCTTTGCAACAGCTTTCTGACCAGACTACTGGGACAGGACTGCATGTGTCACAGCAAGAGAAAAGGATGTTGCAAACATGAGTGAGAGATAAAGAAAGCTCCAACTAGGAATTTAGTTGTGCGAACAGCCAGAAAACATTGTCTGTTAGAGAGGTAATGGGAAAAGAACCGGCAGCTTTTGGGTGTGAGCAAGATGAGGACAGAGCTGTTCAACCAGAGGCAGATTTGGAGCAGGGGTGCAATCTGTGAGCTATCAGCATAGAGAGAGGAATTTGCTTGCAAATGAGGTTTTCCAGAGCTGAAGGGTAGAGGGCAAAGGGGAGAACTGAGGACGCTGTCACCCTAAAAAGCTGATGAGGAGAGGAAGAGCATCCTCCAGCAGACCTGTTTAGGAGGTAGTTAGAGAAGTAAGAGGAGAGCAAGGAGGAGGCAGAGCCGTGGAAGATGAAGCACAAAACCTGACATTAAAAAAAAGATTGGCTGATAATATTGAAGGTGATTTACTAGTAAAGGGGAAAAATGGAGATGAAAGGGTTGAAAACCATTGGGAGATGCAGGTTGCAGTGTTTTAGGGTCCTATCAGCAAAGACTGCCTTGACTTTTGTCATAAAAAATACAGCTGCTCCGCACTCTTAGCCAGTACCCCGTGTATGCAGCATGTTCAAACACGTTACCCTGCCATGGTTTCATGCTCCGGTCTCATGGAGGGGTTAAGAATCTTGCTTTCTGTTCTTCAGAAAATAGTTCTGTATCCTTTACAGAGGGCTAGGAATGCCAGGCATAACGGGTGCTTTAAGTATTTGTTTATTCTTATTCGAGTGAAGCTTTTGATGTAGGCCTATCCGTTACTTAAAAGCCAGTAAGTTGGGAAAGGATGAAAGAAAGTGAAATGGTCTGTATCATATCATTCTGTACAGTATTTGTATATGCTGAGTATTTCATTTATTCTGTAATCTGCAGATGGTTTGAAACTGAAAAGCCGGGCTATTCCAGTGGCAGCTCTTTTGTTCATGGAATGAGCTGTGGGTTATTCAAGCAAAGCAAGCGAACACCTGATTAATAGCAACATCTATCTTTAAGGAAAAAGGCTGTCATTAAACTGAGCTATTTTGCAATTCCCAAACATATTCAACATTGTACTTTACACGGCAGAAGCCTGAGTTCCTTCCTTCCTTCTGGTTAGAAGATGTAGTTGCATATACAGGCAAAAAAGCGTAGGCGAAAAAGTGCACAGGCTGTAAGCACAGGCCCTGCTTATAGCTGAATACACGGGAATCACCCAGGGCCCACTGGGACCCCCTTGGGGAGCAGGTTTGGACCAGGGTATCTCCTGTTGCGGAAAATCCCGGTGCAATTTGCCTGCAGAGGACCTGCACCCAGCAAACCCATGGCAAATGCTTCCCGAAATGTTCAGCTCCTCCATCCCCCCGCTCCAGCCGGACAGGGCAGCTGCAGCCACCTCCGTGCAAAGCCTCAAGCTCTTTTCATCCCGCTGGTCAGCTGTTTCTGCTAAGGATTGCTAAAAAGGTCAGTTCTCAGAAGCAGATTTCCCAAATCTGAGCTGCACTCTGCTCCCC